ATTTATATATATAAATTATATATACACATTTAGAAAATGTGTATCTAAACATCATTCTAGTGGGCAGTTTATATATATTCAATGTAACAAAAATTTGGAATATTAAAAATATCTTTATTTGGGCATCATACAAAAAGAAAGCAAAGAAAGGAATTCTGTTTGCCCACTCAGTAACTCACAAAGATTTACATAACAAGTCCCACAAACTGATCGCAGAAACAGAGCACTGTTACATTTTCTATGAACACAAGTTGTGAAATACTATAGATTGTGCTTTAGATAATAATGTTTGATGCAATCTACATAGGAATTATGGTCAAGATTCATAATTGCACAAATTTGAAGGGACTTACACACCTTATCGCAAATTACACTGCTGTCATAACTCACAAAGTAGTAATTATAGTATTTTACAAATTTCTTACTGTCTAGGGCTGCAAATTCCTTAGCTAAGCCATACAAACTTTTTGGCTGCAAATCTTCAATGTCATAAGTCTGGGTCAGGGTGTACTCCAGCTGCCAGTTGGATTCTCCTTTTAGATTAGCATCTGTCAGGTTCAAGTAGAACTGCAACATATCCTACAGTTAAAAACGGTAAGAAAGCCTGGTTCATTCGGGGGCATATAAAACACTGTGCAGCAAGAAGAGTCCTTACTCGGATTAACGTGACACTCCTAATGTCAAGTGGTAGTCATTTAAAAAAGTGAGAACTGATTTTGGAGAAAGAGTCCAAATAGAAGAGCTATATTACTTTTTCACTTTAAAAATAAATGAAAGAACATAATCCAAATTAATATAAACTACATAAAGAGATGTACAAAATAAAAAGCCTTCAATTCACACATGTCCAAAGTGACCACCACTAATAATATTATACATATCAGTGGTGTGCTGGAGGCGGCTGTAACCAGCTCACAAGAGCCGATTGTCAAATTTTCAGGAATCCTGCCAGTTAGTTGATATTACTTTGGCAGCTTGAAATTGGCCATGATGGGAGTATTTATATCATGGAAATCAGCAAACACTATAAATCAAAGCATGTGTGTTTTTTTTCTGAGTGAACAGGTTGTTAAACATTTACCAACACTCTCGTGTTACTTGTGTTGTTCTAGAGTTTATGTACAAAACCAATATAAGTATTTAGAAATATACACCTATCTCCTATTTTTTGGCTTTTTAAAAAAATGAGGTCATACTATACAAACTTTTGGACTTTTAAAAAGTATTGAGTGCTATATCAGGGACATCATTCTATGTTAGTACATATATACACACATACAGATCCACATATGAGTGAGGTTCAGATCCAAAAATAGGCAACTAATAGTTGTAAAAAGATTCCTTTGAACTAATTTATCTGCCAATTGTCTTATTTCCTCATTCAATCTAATGTTTATGGATTAAACCAGATTTCCTCTGCCCTACCTCTTTTATAAAAACATATTCTAGGAAATAAAAGGATTACCTCCTATTAAGTTTATCTAGGAAAAATATATATAGTTACAACAATAGACACTATAATTGAGAAGTTCTTTCCCAATTAATTTGTTGAAAGGAGTACTACCCATAAACTAAATGCTCAGTCTTTCTATACTAAATTTATCTACAGCAGAGTCATGTACAAGCTCCAGAGAACTTTTATCACAAAAATAAATGTTCTGCTCAACGTATTTCCTTTACAAACTGTTTTTCCCGACATTTATTGAGCACTTAAGAGGAGCCAAGCATTTCCTTAGTGCTTTATATATATAATCCTCACAGCAACTCAGTGAAGGCAGTCATATTTTAATCCCCATTTTACAAAGGAATAGACTCAGACGGAGAAGTTAGGTGATACAGCTCATGAGACAGTATGGGTTCAGAACCTATACTCTCCTTCATAACTTTATTCTAAACAAGAGTAATTAATAACAAATAAGGCTTAGTGAAAAGTTTCAACACATATACAAGTCCACAGATGAGACACTACCTAATGAAACCTTCATCTAACTCAGTGGTTCTCAACCTTGGCTGCACATTAGAATCACCTGGGAATCTTTTTAAAATCCTGATTTCTGGGCCTCATCCTCCGGGAATTCTGTTTCTTTGTTACCCACAACGTTAGTAACAAAGAAACAGAATTTCCAGAGGATGAGGCCCAGAAATCAGGATTTTAAAGATTCCCAGGTGATTCTAATGTGCAGCCAAGGTTGAGAACCACTGATCTAACTGAATGTGAAGGCTTTAGAAGTTTTAGAGAAACAGCCTCCCAAAGGCTGACCTCATGAGCCCACACTTACAAATGCTGACGTTCCAAATATGAAAAGGAAGACATTAGAGTTTTACATAAAACACAGCACACACAGCTATGCTGAAAACATTCAACTCAACTACTGAAAGTTACGAAGACATGTATAAGTATGGGGTCAATTCTAAAATTGTACCAACTTACCAGTAACTTATAATCATGAGGATCATACTGAAATAGCCTGACTCCAGGGTTGTTGGTCTCTTTCTGTAAAGCGCCCTTCACTGGGGTAACAGCAGGAGCCACAAATGCAGAATTTATTGGATTTCCTGGACAAAACATGTGCACGTAAAAAATATTTTTTTAGAGACTGAGTTTAACTATATTGAAAATATGAACAAGTTCCAGGTTAAGAGATTAATAGACATAATGGCCCAAAAATATATGATCTTTAATGATTCCTGGCTTGAAACATCTGTCAGAAACATTTTTGAGAAAATAGAAACATTTTATTATGGGTTGGTATTAAATGATAGCAAAGAATTTTGTTAGATAAATTAAAGGTATTATGATTATGTAAGTGACTCATGTATTTTAGCAATGTGTCGAGAAGCATGTAGGGCTAAAACATCTGATGTTAAGATTCACTTTTAGATAATTCAGGAAAAAATTTTAAAAATGGATAGGTAAAGCAAATGTGGCACAATCTTGATAGACGTTAAAATAAATGATGGTACATGAGTTTGTTTTACCATTCTCTCGGCTCTTGGCTATTTAAAATGTTTCATAATAAAAAATTCAAGTTATTACAAGTACACACACATGTCCTGTACCTCTACCTGAAACAATATTCCAATGATTACATAATAAATATTTGATTTAAGTGTCACCATGTTTTATACATACCATAGAACTAAATTTCTGAGTAAAAAAACTATCAACTTCTAAAAGATTATCATTTTTACCAAGACCACCCATTCCAAATAAAAGGGGTAAAGCATTTCAAAAATGTTCCCCAATTACTGAAAAAAATACATATTGATTTTTCTCTACACTGACTACTATAAAATCAGAAGTCTTGCTTTGTTAAAATAGATCATCATTGTTCAGTTTGATGCTAGAGTTTCTTCTGTGTTTTTTTCTTTTAATGCTGTCATTAATAATGCATATAAGTACTTAAAAGAGTTTATTATGTTTTACTTTAAACCAATGGTAAATTGTTCTTTGCTTTTTATATTAAGTAAAATCTGGTGCTGGATTTAATGAAACATTTAATTTGCTAACTCAGTAAAAATTACCAGCGTTTCGATGCTTTGCTTTAGCATCTTGGATTGGGGCGATACGAACAAAATGTCGTATTACTGTTACGACAGTAAGGAGCTAGGAAAATCCAGAGCAAGTGACTAGGGAACCTGAGACAGGAGAGTTAAAACAAGGCTGAACAGTGTGAGCAATTTACAACCAGCTTGTAAATAACAAGCCATTATCTTCCCCAGCCAAGGACACGTGAGAGCAAATGGTTAAAATCCTCCCTAAGGAGAGAATGCAGAAAAGGAGGGGGGAAGAGGAAAGGAAGAAAAGGCAGTTTTACTCCCTAAGCAGAGCAGCCAGCAGCCTCAAGGCTTGGCAAGTTAAAATTGCCAGGTGCTTCTCATGAATTCTGGGAAGGACACAACAAGGTAGAAAGGGACCTTGAGAATGAATCTGTACCAAAATATTCAGCAGAGGGATGCTAAAACAGGAGGGTATATAATGCCTCGGACACCCACCTCACTCACTCTTCAGATTAGCTGGGACCCATCTGTGCTTCCTAAGCCAGATGCATAGATTTGCTTGCCTTGCTTCTTTAATAAAGGTGCATGCTTTAATTGCTTTAATAAAATTGGCTTCATTACAACGCAATCAAGGCCTCTTGTATAAATGCATTTATGTGAAAAGACGAGAATCGAGGTTGGGGACAGCCCTCTCCCTCTGACCCAGAGGGCTGTCTGATATCTGTAAGAGGTGCTTCTAACGTTACCTTTTTCATCTGAAAGAACCATGATGCTGTCTTTGTGAGTGTGTCCATAAAATTGTCCTGCAATGACATTGCTGTACTTTCTAAAAATATCTATCAGTTTCTCATTATACAATTCTCTCATGGCTGTAGTGCCCATTGAATAGGGCAGATAGCCCACTGGGATATGTGCTATGATGTACACCTGGGGAAAGAAACACAGGAGAACTGATGAGAATCTTTCTGCACATTTGTCGTAACTAAATGACATTTAGATACCCAAGATCAAAAGTATATTAATTAAAATTTAGAAAGCAAATATACCATCTCTCCTATTTATTACCAAAAAATATGAAATTAGAAAACTATTTATTTCACTATATATGCTCTTGTCTCATTTAAACTACACTGCTGCCCTAGCCAGTTTGGCTCAGTGGATAGAGCATCGGCCTGCAGACTAAAGGGTCCCAGGTTCAATTCCAAACAAGGGCACATGACCGGGTTTCGGGCTTGATCCCCCACCAGTAGGGGGCGTGCAGGGGGCAGCCAATCAATGATTCTCTCCATTCATTGATGTTTCTATCTCTCTGTCTCTCTCCCTTCCTCTCTGAAATCAATAAAAAAATATATATATCTATACTAATAAAAGGGTAATATGCTAATTAGACTGGATAGACCAGACGTCTTCCGGACGTCCTTCTAGACAAAGCCATGGTGGCAGAGGCCGAGGCAGAGGCAGTTAGGGGCGATCAAGCAGGCAGGGGAGAGCAGTTAGAGGTGATCAGACCAGCAGGGGAGCAGTTAGGAGCATCAGGCAAGCAAGCAGAGGTGGTTAGGGGGGATCAGGCAGGCAGGCAGAGGCGTTAGAGGTGATCAGACAGGCAGGCAGAGGCAGTTAGAGGTGATCAGGCAGGTGGGCAGAGGCGGTTAGGGGTGATCAGGCAGGCAGAGTGGTTAGGAGCGATCAGACAGGCAGGCAGGTGAGCAGTTAGGAGCCAGTGGTCCTGGATTGCGAGAGGATGTCCAACTGCCGGCAGTCAGACATCTCCCGAGGGGTCCCAGATTAGAGAGGGTGCAGGCTGGGCTAAGGGACACGCCCCCCCCTCCCCGCACGAATTTCATGCACTGGGCCACTAGTTAAAAATAATAAATAAACTACACTGTTGATCATATATGTTAACTATGACATTGGTCACAGTTTTTTTAATATCAGCTTTTTTTATATGAACTGATGTCAATCAATCCTCAAAACATTAAAAGCAAAACAAAATAAAACAAATAACAAGAGATAAATTATCATGCATTTCATATGAAAACATCTTCAAATTTTACTATTTTTATTAATACCTGACATGCGTGTCCCCGCCCCCCCAAGTTTAATAAATACACAAATTTAGCCCTCTGTTTATCCCCTTATGATTTAGGTCTATGAAATCTACCTTCTCATTATTTTGCTGAGAGATATTCAGTGTATTTTCTAGCCATTCAAACTGATTTGCTGGGTCACTCCTATTCAGGGTCACAATATCTGGGCCGTAGTACAAGTTTGTGTTTAGGCTGATGATCCTAAGGTTCGGATTAGTTGAAACTTTCTGTGAATAAAAGCCACCTATAAAAACAAATTTAAACACATTCTAGAGAAACACACTCACAGATATGCAGTCACTATGACAGCAAATTCTTTAAAAAAATTTAAAAAAAAAAAAAAAAAAAAAAAAGATTTACAAACCAGCCAGGATGGTTATATTTATACTAGAGGCCTGGGGCATGAAATTTGTGCATGGGTAGGGTCCTAAGCCTGGCCGGCGATCAAGGCCGATCTGTAGGGTGACCGGCAGGATGATTGGGGGCCCCCATTGGCACCCACCTTGGCCAGCCTGGCACTGCCCACTTGTTGGCCCCACCCCTGCCCCCACTGCTTGCCTCCTCTGTGGGGTGACCAGTGGGGTGATCAGGGGGGTCCCCACTGGCACCCGCCTTGGCTGGCCTGGGGCCTGGGGGCAGCTCCTGTGTTGAGCGTCTGCTCCCTGGTGGTCAGTGCACATCACAGAGACTGGTCATTTCACCCGTCTTTCCGCCGTTCAGTCAATTTGCATATTAGGCTTTTATTACATAGGATCTCATTGTTTAGTTTGTATATACACAGGCCATGATTAGGTAAGAATCAGGTCTAACAAACACTATGGAAAACCTACATGTGCCAGATCCAATGTTCGCTCTTCTATACATAGAAGTAACAAGAGTTGTCTCCAATATTCAGGTGAAAATACAACAAATATATTGGCACTAGACAGCAAGGTACTGAATTTTGTAAAAGAAATATTAATATACCAACTCTTACTCTTGTATGATTGGGGAAGTTGAGAATTATTGTGAAATACAAAATCCAAAGAATGGCAACACACATGGATCTTGCCAGAGACCAATGAAGAAATGGCAGACAAACCAGAGATACTACACTCTCCACGGAGATGAAGCTTAAAGGCATAAGCCCACTGACACCAGCAAACCAGTGGTGACAGAACACCCAAGAGTCTACTGTCAGAGCTAGTCACTGAGATGCTGGCCCTGGGCCCACTCACCATCCCTGCCTCTCTCTCCTCGGCTTTCAAAACATGATTTGTGGCCTCCAGAAAAACTGGGTACAGAGGCTCTTCAGAACTGGCACAGCCAAGCAAATATGAAAGACCTAAGTCTAAACAACGTTAATAAAAATAGAGGCAAAATAGAGATGAGTACATCTTTCACCTACCTTTCTTTAAAGTCTGAATAGCTTCTTCATCTAGCCATGGTTTCCAGAGGTTTGCTACTGCGTTGTATACCTTGCTGGTGAATGCAGGCAGTTGATCCTGGCCACAAACAATATAAGTCACCATTGAAACTCTAAAGAATATGTGGGTCAATTAATTAAACATTGCTTGAGTGTTTACTACTATGTTAGGTATCTGAAAATGCAAAGATGAATACTAGATCTTCAAGGAATTTATAACTTAGTTGGAGAGACGGGGACCAAATACAATCAATCACCTATAAGACAGTGCACGAGGTACTACTGCAGAGGTTCTGGGAGTATAGAAGCAAGAACAATCAAGTCTGGCCCAAAGAGTCAGCAGGGAGAGACAATAGAGCATTTGAACCAGGCCTTGAATAATGATTCATCAAGTTGACAAAAAAAGGATCAGACAGAGAAAGGCAAATGCCTTATGATTTCACTTATATGTGAAATCTAGATCTCTTACCCTCTGAGACAGCATGGAGGGACTTGGAGAGTATTGTGTTAAGCGAAATAAGCCAGTCAGAGAAAGACAAGTATCACATGATCTCACTCATATGTGGAATCTCACTCATATGTGGAATCATAGCATGTGGAAGGAATGGAAAAAAATTAGAATAAATCCTCTGAAATGTTAACACTAGTAAAAAACTTCTTAACTTCTTATAGATTTATAACCATAAAAATTTGATTTGAAGAAGTTTCTTATGTCAGCCTGAATTTTATCAACGCGTTGATTTTTAATGGTGTACTAGATGTATAAAACATTACTTTTATTATCATAAAGTATATTTTATCATCCTATTTATCATATTACAATAATGTATGTTTATGTGACATAAGCTCTAGGGGAGAAAAAAACAAAACTTTAAGAAAGTAGATACTGAATAGAAACCCAGGAAGCATTTGTAAAATTGGGTAATTATTCCTACTTTGGTCTTTAAAAAAATATATAAAAAACTGATGCCATTTTATTCACTATCCTCATTTCCTTGTATAATAGTGATAGAGACCTATTTCTTAAAGGAGTTTCCTTGTCAGCATTAATTAAAATGCTTAGTTATGTCTCAAGATGACACCCGAGTCACCTTAGTTCCTAATACATATACCTAGTACATAATGAAAGTATAAATACATTCAGAGCAAGTAATAAGCAAATAACTTGTTTTAACTGGAACTAATTATCCAAAGCATATTTTCAGTTTGTGTCAGAAATCAGAGTCACCTGTCTGAAAATTACACAATAGCATAGGCCAATCCAGATTCTGATTTAGAATTAGTCGTCATTGCCCTGGCTGGTGTGGCTCAGTTGGTTGGGCGTCGTCCTATGTACCAAAAGGTTGCACCAAAACATTGACAGTTCCATTCCTGGTCAGGGCACATGCCTGGTTTTCGGGGGTGATCCCTGGTGGGGGGTGTATAGGAAGCAGCCGATCATCTGAAAATGCAAAGATGAATACTAGATCTTCAAGGAATTTATAACTTAGTTGGAGAGACGGGGACCAAATACAATCAATCACCTATAAGACAGTGCACGAGGTACTACTGCAGAGGTTCTGGGAGTATAGAAGCAAGAACAATCAAGTCTGGCCCAAAGACTCAGCAGGGAGAGACAATAGAGCATTTGAACCAGGCCTTGAATAATGATTCATCAAGTTGACAAAAAAAGGATCAGACAGAGAAAGGCAAATGCCTTATGATTTCACTTATATGTGAAATCTAGATCTCTTACCCTCTGAGACAGCATGGAGGGACTTGGAGAGTATTGTGTTAAGCGAAATAAGCCAGTCAGAGAAAGACAAGTATCACATGATCTCACTCATATGTGGAATCTCACTCATATGTGGAATCATAGCATGTGGAAGGAATGGAAAAAAATTAGAATAAATCCTCTGAAATGTTAACACTAGTAAAAAACTTCTTAACTTCTTATAGATTTATAACCATAAAAATTTGATTTGAAGAAGTTTCTTATGTCAGCCTGAATTTTATCAACGCGTTGATTTTTAATGGTGTACTAGATGTATAAAACATTACTTTTATTATCATAAAGTATATTTTATCATCCTATTTATCATATTACAATAATGTATGTTTATGTGACATAAGCTCTAGGGGAGAAAAAAACAAAACTTTAAGAAAGTAGATACTGAATAGAAACCCAGGAAGCATTTGTAAAATTGGGTAATTATTCCTACTTTGGTCTTTAAAAAAATATAATAAAAAACTGATGCCATTTTATTCACTATCCTCATTTCCTTGTATAATAGTGATAGAGACCTATTTCTTAAAGGAGTTTCCTTGTCAGCATTAATTAAAATGCTTAGTTATGTCTCAAGATGACACCCGAGTCACCTTAGTTCCTAATACATATACCTAGTACATAATGAAAGTATAAATACATTCAGAGCAAGTAATAAGCAAATAACTTGTTTTAACTGGAACTAATTATCCAAAGCATATTTTCAGTTCGTGTCAGAGATCAGAGTCACCTGTCTGAAAATTACACAATAGCATAGGCCAATCCAGATTCTGATTTAGAATTAGTCGTCATTGCCCTGGCTGGTGTGGCTCAGTTGGTTGGGCGTCGTCCTATGTACCAAAAGGTTGCACCAAAACGTTGACAGTTCCATTCCTGGTCAGGGCACATGCCTGGGTTTCGGGGGTGATCCCTGGTGGGGGGTGTATAGGAAGCAGCCGATCAATTTTGCACTCTCATATGATGTTTCTCTCTCCCTCTCCTTCCTTCTCTCTAAATATCAATTTAAAATAAAAATTAAAAATTGGTCATCATCATCATCAAAAAAACCCCTAAAGTTTCAACCATGTATTTACTTTGAGATGGAAACCAAGATACTAACATGGTCTAGTGGAATCTTAAAATGATATAAAAAGCACTCTACACTTCCATTTTAAATATGAGAAATATCAGCACCAGAGAACTTAGGTGATTTATCCAGGAACGACTGGTCAGTCACAGAGCTGGATCGAAATCCCAGGTCTTTGCGCCATCACGCTTACCTCCACTTATCTATGGACCATACTATCATCTCAGTTCGTTTGGGCTATGATATGACCACTGCTGAGAAATGAGGTATTCAATGGGACCCACCCGTAAGTTTCATGGCACCAGCCTTACCAGTTTAGGAGTAAATGAGGACCCTGGCCCAGACTGCTTTCTTGGGCGGGTGGCCACTGGAAGGAATCCCCGGGCTGCCCACACTAATATCAACTTCTGATGGAATGGGTGGGGACATGCCTCTGTATGTGTATGTTTATGTAGCTATGTTTATGTACATGTTTATGGGGTTTTAATGGAAACAACACTTGTCATCTTTATTTGTTACTAACACTCTCCAGAATTCAATCGCAGGTATCAGTCTCTAGTAATATTGTGGTGAGGCTTTCGTGTTACATTTGACATTCCTGAAATGTTACATGTGGGATGGAAGGAGGGGAGTAGAATAATAAAAAGATTTTAAAATATAAAGTCATAAGCTAGAAAGAGAAAAAAATTAACTGTTTAAGGTATGCAGACTCTCCAATTTACTTTAGCTGTACACGTAATAGGATACAGTTTAGAAGTTGGGTGGTACCTACACCTTTGAATTATTATAAGATGTGACTTCATAAAAAGAAGACAAAGGATACATCTGTAATACGTTCAACAATAAAGATTTTAAAAAATAAAAAATAAATTAAAAGAAGACAGAGATAAAAGTAAAAAGAAAGAAATCCTCAAAGGAGATAGGACAATGTATCGCATGACACAGCTTAATGCTATAACAACCACCACTCCACTTACTGAGGGCTTACTATGTGGTGGGTAGGAAGTTGTGCCTTTTCATAAAGTGTCACTAATTCTCACAAAAATTCTGCAAGGAGGGAATTATTGCTCCTATTTGCAAATGAGTGATCTATGGATCAGGGACATTAAGTGAATTATCCAAGTTGGTCAAGCTGTTAGAAGCAAGGCGAGATGAGGATTCTAGTGAATGTGACTCTAAACCTCACTTTTCCACCGTACCAGTCTGCCTGTCACCTAATAAAACAATGTGTGTGACCTCCGGCTCCCGGAGGCTGTCATCCCCAAGCCTCTGCACTGTGTGGTCTAACATCTCAGCGGTCACAAAAGTTGACCACTGTTTGAGAGGCCAACTCACAAAGACTCACACTGTGTTCATCTCAAGACTGGAGGTCAGTGTCAAGAAGTCACTTGAAACTTACCCTTGTCCCAGAGTACAACTTTTCAAAATCACTCTATTCAGGTTAGATTGACTAATATAATCAAAACTCTCATGAAGCATCCTTTTGACGTGAGATGGAAAAAATATTCTAAGCAAAAAGAAAAATGTAGACAAAGAGAGGCAGGACAGTAAACATCATAATCCAGAGATGTTGAGTATGTTATTCTGGCAAGAGCAAGGGATGTGTGCAAGGACATTGGTCTAGTTCAGTGATGGCGAACCTTTTGAGCTCGGCGTGTCAGCATTTTGAAAAACCCTAACTTAACTCTGGTGCCGTGTCACATATAGAAATTTTTTGATATTTGCAACCATAGAAAGAGTTATATTTTTGATATTTATTTTATATATTTAAATACCATTTAACAGAGAAAAATCAACCAAAAAAATGAGTTTGCGTGTCACCTCTGACAAGCGTGTCATAGGTTTGCCATCCCTGATCTAGACCAAGGTCAGCAAACTTCTTCTACAAAGGGCAAATAATAAATAGGTTAGTCTTATGAGCTATACGATCTGTCACAACTATTCTGCTCTGCGGTTGGTGCAAAAGAAGCCGTAGGCAATACAGGAAGAATGGGCATACTTGTGTTTCAATAAAACTTTATTTAAAACAGGTGGCAAGCCAATTTGGACCAGAGTCCCTAATTTGCCATGCTCTGGACTAAACAATAATCTCTGAGATTTCTTAAATCTGTACAAATCGAGGGTTCTACACTACTATAACAAGACCCTGAAACCAAAGCTGGTATTAGCTGTTACACACAGGCTGCTTAACACAGAGCTGCTCTGATAAGTTGAAGCTCGGCTGTCTGTATCAGGCATTAAATATTCTGAATACAGTCTCTGCCTTGAATCACATCTTAATTAGATAAACGGGGCTTGAACCTGAACCTCTCTCTTTGGTTCTTATGATAGTTTAAACATAGTTTGCTATGTTTTTAAAGTTTTCGATCACAATCTAGCTTAGATTAGGGTGTGGTGAGCTTTGTATGCCTAATTGAAATTCTGAAAAACATAAACATTTGTCAATGTTAACCTTCCTCCTTAACTGAATCATGCAAATATGAATAAATGACAAAATTACTCAAAAGAAAGGCAAAAAAAGGAAGATTATAAAGAAAAAGAAAAATTAATAGTTCATAAACTAGGTATGTGCTTCCAAAAGCTCACTATGCACATAACATTTTATGAATTATTAAGAGTCATTTTAAAGTCCTCCAAACACTCATCTTGCCTTCATTGGTGGTTAGCATTAAGAGCACACTCTACCTCAATGAGCCCCACTCCACTGCTTACCATCAGCCAGTTATTGTCACAATTTTTACACCACTGATGGGAAAAATCCTTTAAGCACTTCTGGAAGTTAAGGTCAGATTTACCTGTGGCCAATAGTCATGATTACCCAGTGCAGGGAAAACCTGGAGATTTGGAAAGAGAGTCTGGACAGTGGTTGTCATATTAGCGATCACCATTATGACTGTGTCTGTTGAGAGCTCATACACTGGAACATGAGGTGGGCTATCCCTGAAAATAACAAAGATTCATAGAGAACAAAGTCAGGTTACATAAAAAATCCACGAGACATGCATAATGCCTTGCTGTGTACTGTCTTTGCAAACCTCCGCCATCAAACAGCAGATGTGAGTGAGATCACCATTATGACTGTGTCTGTTGAGAGCTCATACACTGGAACATGAGGTGGGCTATCCCTGAAAATAACAAAGATTCATAGAGAACAAAGTCAGGTTACATAAAAAATCCACGAGACTTATGCATAATGCCTTGCTGTGTACTGTCTTTGCGAACCTCCGCCATCAAACAGCAGATGTGAGTGGAGAGTTGACAAACTACTCTTCATTTACCTTTCTCCCACAAAGAATCTCATTTTTAAAATGTGTGTAATCACAAAAGATAAACTAGAAATCTCAGCCTGTTTTACTGCCTGGCTGCAGATTTATGAGAAATAATAAATTTTAGTAAATTAAAAGCACAGATTCCAGAGCCAAAATGCCTGGATTAAAAATCCCAGCTTTGCCCTGGCTGGTTTGGCTCACTGGATAGAGCGTCGGCCTGGGGACTAAAGGGTCCCAGGTTTGACTCCAGTCAAGGGCATGTACCTTGGTTGCAGGTACATCCCCAGTAGGGGGTGTGCAGGAGGCAGCTGATC